TAAGAATACAAATGCACCGTTTATTTAAATAAATGTAATCATTTTAAGTGTAACGAAAAACTTGACATTAAGCCACACATTTGCTGCCTGTGTGGCTTAGCTTCTTTGCTAGCTAGTAACACATCTGCTTGTGTAGATAAAAGGATTCGAACAGAGAAACTATTATAGGGTTCAGTCGGTTATAGATACACACACACACACATACACACACACACACACACACACACACACACACACACACACACACACACACACACACACACACACACACACACACACACGCACATGCATGCAACACAATCCCGTTCATTTGCACAGTTACCTACCTGTTGTTTGTCCCATGTTGTTTACTGTGTTGTATCATATTGTACCATTTATAATATTTGAATAAAGTTCTTTTTTCATAAAAAGAGATGATGGTCGTTTACATTTGTTTAAAATGTAAAGACAGGAGGGGTGGTGAGATGATCAGCTGAGATAATTGATTGCAGTTGTAGTCCATTTATGACTACATTAAAAACATAGAAAAATAAAAACAGAAATGCATTCGTGTGCGTTTTGGGATCATTGCATGTAGGAGGGGAGGGATGCACTGTAAACAGCAGCAACAGAAATACTGGTTACTTGTGTTGGCAGGTACTTGTCAACAGATTGACATCAGGTACACATGGGTTAGGGCACACACGTTATTTACGTCATATCGGATGGCACCCATAAAAAGGAACTCACCTTGTGGTAAACCGGCAAGAGAGAAAGCCTTTGAGCTCCATACTGTTTCAGAAATAATCCTTGATGTGGTTTTGGCGTTTCATCACCGCAGCATTTATTTTAGGCAGTATCTGCCGGGTTCCGCATGAGCTCAGCCCCCTCCTTTTTCTTTTCTTTTTTAAAGCTTTATACCCCGAATCAGCACTTTAGTAACAGGAAGTTAAATAGAGGGATATGAGGCATGGCTAGAATGGGTGATCTGTTTGGTATTTTGAGCAAAACACTTCATAGACATGTTTTTTATACATTTTTATATATCTTAGACCTATGCTATTGCCTACAAATTGCATGACAGGTGACCTTTAAGATGTTTTTCACCTAGGTTTAGTTGTTATGCTAAGCTAGGCCTCCTGACTCGCATAGGGAAACCCAACAATCCAAAATACTTATTTTACCTGTATTATATAATCCAAATAGTTATGGTGTGAGAGGAGAAGATATCCCCCAAAAGATGTCTGTCATATCACCAATTTAATAAAAACGACATGGCTCTCGGCTTGTGGTGTTCAAAGTGCCAAAAATAAAAAATCACAATTCAACAACGTTTTCTTGCCAGAAATCCAAAATCTTCATTGATCTTCTCATCTCATTCTCTGGAAGACTAACTAAACAGGTCTTGGCTGGAGTGCACATAGTGTCGTCAGAAGGCAGATATGTTCAGAATAACCAGCAATATACTGTAAGAGTGACTTTCACATAACTCTCATTATGAAGCACCTTGTTTTTGTCTAGACTTGATCTTTTCATCTGTTAAAGTCATCTCTGCTGTCAAACGCTGTATAGACACAGAGTTCAGACTGATTACAGGCTTCATTTCAGCTGTTCCCCCAAAACTGCAGCAGTGAAGCCCCTCAGGTGGGAAGACAAGACAGGTTATAATGTGTTAAGATTGATGTTCCTGTCACAACTCTGAAGAGCTAATCAAAGGATCCAGTCAATTCACTGACAGTGTCTGTATATACAGGTACACCTATCAACAGTTTATAGGAAAAGGAACAGTGCTAGCTTTTGTTTCTTAGCGTGTTTGTGCAGGTGATTACTTAACTCCTGCATCTGAAACAAAAAACAATGCTCCTATTGATCAGGAGGTTTATTACAGCGACATGATGGGACTGTGTGAGACTGAGAGCTGTTGCGAAACTGCTTTATGACCACAGGGCGGTCATAGATACAGCTAGGCTAATGTATGCTAGCATTATAATCATTTTTAGTAAGACCTACTGTACGTAGAGTTCAAATGGGTAACTACACTTTGCTAGCATGAAAACAATGAAGTGCATTTAGCTAGCTTTGTCACTTTATTTTGACAGCTCATGATTGGTGTAACGTTGGCATGTAAGGTTTTAGGAGATAAAGCAGATAATGTACATCCCCAATTTTCATCTATCTAAAAGTTGGGAACCAGGTAAAACATACCATAGTATGAATGGTATGTGGTATGAACGCAGACTGAAAACAAAAACTTATATACTAACTAAGCACTTATATACTAACTAAGCACTTATATACTAACTAAGCACTTACATACTAACAAAGGACTGGCTTATCTAAAGCCTGTTGAGTATCACTTGAAATGGTTTGGCTCTATGAAACCTGATGTACTTATATGATTCTGTTTTCTTCAAGTAATGTAATGTAATGTAATGAAGCTGAAAGCAAAGGTCCAATCTTCAATTGGATTTTATATTCCTAAACTAGTAAGTCTGGGCGTCACAACCCTTAAAAGTGTATTCAATATATATGATAATAATTACACACAACGTATTGTCTATTACCTAAATTAAATATGTGCAAAAGATACAAGAGCGTATCGACACTTGGGTGACTTAGTATAAGTGTTTGAGTTCTATTATCATACAATTTGGAGCATTTAGAACAGGGGTGTCAAACTCAATTTCATTGCGGGCCACATCAGCATTAAGGGTGCACTCAAAGGGCCGGTTGTAACTTTAAGACTATATCAATATACATATATATATATACATATAAAATAATGTTTTATATTACATTATTGCCTCTGCATTGGATTATTGTCGGATAGGGTAATAACTTCATAATTAACTACGTCTGAGAGCAGAAGTCTAGGGCAAATCATTTCAAATAATTGCAAGTCTCTTCAGTGCACACGTCACAAAATGAGATGCATTGTGGGACATGTAGTTTATGGACATCGTGCTTCTGTAAAGTGGCATGAAACCGTATAATAAACGTATTATATTTTTTGCAAGCTCTTGCGGGCCAAATAAAATGAAGTCGGGGGCCAGATTTGGCCCACGGGCCTTGAGTTTGACACCCCTGATTTAGAAGGTGTTATCCTTAATGATAATGTTCCAGAATTCCAGTCAACGCTTCAGTTAAAAAAAATATTTTTTACTAAAGATACTTAATATGTAAAATGGGTTAGGGTTACTTTCATGATATTCATTTTTTGTATTATCTTTTTCCTTTTTTATTTTCGTTTTCCCACCTGTTTTGACTGTCTGAACTGACCTTATTAGCTCCACCTGTTCCCCATTAGCCCTGCAACCACCTGACTTTCTGCACACCTGCACTTCATCCCCTCATTAGTTCTGCTTGTATTTAAGCCTTGTTTTAGGTCATTGTTGGATTCAGGTTTGTCTTGTTTGGGAAGTTCTGTTCGGGTTTGCCTCAAATGAAATTAAGGTCTTTATGTTGAAAGTTACTGTTGCCTGAACTTTCCTACAATTGGGTCTACTGACTCCCTGTATGGACCATTTGGAAAAGTGTTCAGAAAGTGTGACCTCTGCTGGTGAGGATTTGTAAGAATAGTTTGAAACTTCCTTCATATCAAACTGTGAGACATCCACTTCTTTATTCACCAAGCTGTGTATTCAGGGGCATTGTCGGGCTATATAAGAGTTGAACAGGTCCATATATCAGCTAGAAACTTTTGGGGAAATCAACATAGACGGTAATAATTGACTTTCTCCATTAGGTGGAGCGGAGTCACTGAAATATAAGCATGTTCTGGTCTAAAGATATTGAGTTGTATTTGTTATTAATAATAGAGCCAGCTTTTTAGCAGTGATCAGAGCTTCTTTTGTTTTTTTGAAAAATATTTTAAGACTTAAAGGCCAATCTCTCTAATAAATACAGCACGTGACCAGGTACAATATGACGTCTTCCTTAAAGACACTAGAGCAGGACATTTATGAGTCATATGAGTAGATTGGTTATATTTACAGTGCATGACAACCTGTGTCTCGCATAGCTTGCCGGCTCAATTAGTTAAAGGGGACCTATCATGCAAAATGCACTTTTGTACGTCTTTTACACATGAATATGTGTCCCCGGTGTTCCAGGGAACTCACCAAGTGTCAGAAAACACAACCCTCTCTATTTTCCTCCATACCCAAATCTCTAAAAAAGGGGCTGCAACGGATCTGATAAAAACTGATCCAGATTTGAACACTGTCCTGACGTCAGGACAGTGGCGCTACGGCTATTGGGCCAACTCCACCAATCAGGAGGAGACCGCCACGGCCATTGCCGTTCGAAAGCGCTAGAGACGCTGTAGTACATATGCCAGGCCAGTAGATGGTGCTGTTCTCACTGAATCTGCCCCTGCACAAACAGAGCTATAAATTGTCAAATTGAGCAAAATGAGGCATGGCTAAAATGCATGATCTGTTTGTTATTTTGAAAAAAAAAAAGTATAAATATGCCTTATATAGGTATGGTCCTACACTATATTATTCAAATATAGCATGATAGGTCCACTTTAAGTAAAGAAGAAGTTTTGTTGTGACCTTAAAGGATCAGATTAACCACATTTCATTAACAAATGTTTCCACTGTGCAGAGGGTTTTGGTTGTATGTGGCTTTGGGATATTTGTCTCTCCACTAGCTTTCATAGCAACTTTTTGTTGGTAATACATATGTTTTCGGGGTATATGTGTTGCTGGATTTTGTCCTATGCTCTGAGTACCACAAATCAAATTCCAGAAATCCCTAATAGGTGGACACATAATACAAATAATGAGTTGCATGGATATATTCCTCTAGAGGAAAGTAAAATGACCTGGTAAATCTTAAATATACCGTACATCTGTCAGACACATGCATAAATGAATTCCTCATATTTATACTGTACAGTATAAGCTTCTATCTTTCACACTCTAAATGGGTTACTTTATACGGGAAGAAGTTCACAGTCACAAGCTAAATAAATAAAAAAAGTATGTTTAAAAAAAAAAAAAGTGAAAAATTAATTGTAATTAAGATTTTTTATTTTCCTTCAGAAGAAAAAACAGAACAGTTACAACAAATTAATTATACAGATTAGATTCAGTTCAACAAAATAAAAAACAAACCAAAAATATGAAGGTATTGTATCCAGCCCTCTAAGCTTTATATAGTTTGGGAAAATATGAATTCACAACCCATAATTATCCAAGCCACTGTGGCAATAACTCAGTTTGTGTTGTTTGCTCTCTTCTGATGCCTTTACATGCTGAACAACAGGACACACCCTACTGTGGGTTTCATACTCTGGATTTCTCTGTAAAATGTTGTATAAAACTTATTGTAACAAGCTTGTGTAACAGGTGCTACACAATATACTTACAAAAGACTTAGATAAATACGTCAAACAGTAGTTTACACACAGATTTATGAAGAAAAACAGAAATAACTATTTTGACACACTGAAAGAAATCAACCAAAAAAATCCTGCTGGTACTTTTTTGATTGGGTAATACCTACAGTAAGGGTAAACACGATTGAGCAACATTTTTATTCATGTACTATAACCATATTTATTTGATCTGGTCTCTATCTTTTGATACATTGGAGAAGCCAGAAAGAGTTCATACGATTTTCAATTCCAATCCAACTTTATTTATATAACACATTTAAAAACAACAGAGTTGACCAAAGTGCTGCAATTGATTAAACCAAAACTCACAATTGAATGTTGTTAACTCTTTTCCAATCAAAGAAGCTAGCAGCATTAGCTTTTAAAAGTCACAGAATCTGGTGGGAAAGTTGGCATAACTGTCAGTCTTCTTAGACCTCCCTCCAAAATCAGTAACTCAACATATTCATTATGAACATCATAATAAGCAAAAAACAAACATGGCTGGTTAGCTTCAGTCCGCCCAAGTTGACGGGCATGTTGACTGTCCAACCATTTCATTCAGGCTGAATACATTTAACAGCCACCGATATAAATGTGTCTTTGTCATAGCTCCAAATGTATTATATGCTGCAGTGTTGTAGAGAGAATTTTTAACTAAAAGTTTTTTTAAAGAGGTTTACCTACCCCAGCTTTACACACTGCAGGCCTATATGGATGCTAACTTGCTTTTTTTTATCAAGCATCTAGTGGTCATTAAAGGACATGCATCTTAATACTTGATACTGTAACAGGTAGTTTTTTATCTGAAAGCGCCACCTATGATTTTCCTCGGGAATTTTGCCCAGCTAATAAAACTGCTAATGTAAGGACTTTATTCAGCAGGCCATAGGCATAACAGACATTTATAGAATGGAAATCTTTGTGATACTTAACCTGTCATAACAACACAAGAGACATGTGAGAAAGATTACATTTGACTGGCATATGAATGCCGTTGGTTAGTTGTCTCCTCTATTTTCTGTGATGGGAACTGCCGTTGGAATCGTCAAGATAAAACACTCAGTACATCCAGATGACGTGATACCATCAGATGGGGTCGGTGTTGCTGGCGGGACGGTTCTCCCTGAATCAGTCGGCCCATCTGTGCTCCCTGTGCCTGGCTCAGGGGTCGGCGTACTCCTTTTTACATTAGTGATGGTTGTCATGGCAGTGGGGGTCACGCCCATAGTTGTCTGATCGGTGAATGGACGTTCCTCAGAGGACTCCTCCGAAGACTGACTCTCTGAAGACTGACTCTCTGAAGATTCACTCTCTGAAGATTCACTCTCTGAAGATTCACTAGATTCAGACTCCAGTGACTCACTCGACTCTGAAGATGAGTCACTGTAGCTCGAAGATTCTGCAGACCACGAAGACCCCCTGTAATTCATCCCCAGCCATCCTTGCATCAGGTCATTTTCAGCGATGTCAGCATCCTGATGCCGACGCCAACCAATCTAGGGAGGGAATAGAAAATGAGAGAGACGTTGTTACTGCTACTGTTGGTGTTAAAGCACACAATTTCCTATTTGACGTGCAATTACGTATCTGCCACTACGTTCTTCTGCACTACTAAATACTGTTAATATTTACATTAATTAAGTGACCGTCTATGTTTCCTGTAGATATTTAATGGCTCTTTTTACTGCACTTTTAGTGTACAGTTTTATTATTATGCTGCTGTGTTTATTGTATTTTTGTAACTCTGGCCCGACAATTTCCTTCGGGATAAATAAAGTCTTATCTTGACATCTAAACCCATGTATCCAGCTCAGTCTGTAGGGACTTGGGAACTGAAGGATTGCTGGTTCACGTCACGACCGGACCAAAAAACACGGAAAGGTGCCAGTTCACCAAATAATACACTTCCTGGGCACTGCCGAGGTGTCGTTGAGCAAGGAATCGAACCCCCAACAGCTGCCGGAGAACCTGGCATTCTCTCTCTCTGGCACCTCTCCATAAAAAGTGCATGTGTATACATATTTGTATAGGTCCTATGTATTTGTAATGTGTGTGTAGACAACAACGTGGATACATGCATTTCCCCTTGGTTATTAATAAACGGTCATCTTATATATTCCCATTGTTAAATTATTCTACATGATTTTTGTTTAGTTACAATGTATAGGGTGTCCGTTACGCTATGCATAGCAAGATGTGAAATATAGTTAGTTTAAAAACACAACGCCACCTTTTCCTCACCAATGTCATACTGAAGGTTTGATGAGCAATCATCGCAGAACTATATTCATTTATCAGCGTTGTCATAAGGTTTGTGTCCTGTGTGAAACCAAATGCTAGGGGCTTATATTAGGTTACGTATGCAATTAAAGACAAGTATCCACAAGTCAGAGAGTCACATAGGGAGTGCTCACATTACTGGTTATTGTTACACAATTAAAACTCACAATCCTCTTTTCCTAAATGTCTCTAAGAATTGACGTGATATTGCAAACATAATTTCTCTTTTTAGGCCGATAAAGCACTTATTATTTTGACCTAATAATTGTCAAACACAGAGGATATTAAGTATAAACTGATTAATTAAAAGGTAATTTAAGTTCTGCTTGCCAATCAGCTGATCTACTTATTATTTGTAAATTAAAGGTAGGGTAGGTAATTTTGAGAAACCGGCTCGAGATCGCTAGAATTTGAAAATACACAACCGGAGAAAATCTGCCACTTCCTTACAGAGCCCCTCCTCCAACACACATGAACGCGCACATGAGTCATGACCAATGAGGGCACGAGATAAGTTTGTGCACAGATGGAAGGCTGACAGGCAGGTAGGCCATCCAGTTATTTTAGCCGGGCCGGCTAAAATGATTGGTCGTGCTTTTTACAGTACTACAGCTTCCACAGATGACATTTTTTTATGGATTTTTTGTCAAAGCACTTAAGATATTCATTGCTATCGGGATGTTAAGAGCATTCCATGGAATATAACAAAAAGTGTATCTCGAGCTGGTTTCTCAAACTTACCTACCCTACCTTTAATGTGGGTAACAATTAACCAAATGTAAAACCTAAAGTATATTGTGTCCACAGAAAAGTTACATTGTTACAGCACATGGCATGAATGTGTTGGGTGCAACAAACCCAAAATGTAACTCATAATGTAGCAATTTTAGAGGCTTAACTGTAAAAATGACTAAATGTAAAAGTCTTGTGTTCATTGTGTAATGCAAGTATTTCATCGACAAACAAACATTTGATCCGCAGAGGGAATATTTAAAATGGAAATGCCTTAATTCGTTCACCATAGAATAAATACATTAGTAGAATACCTCAAATAGAATCGGTACGTATTCATAATAAAGCAATAATCAGTTTTACTGTAGCACAGGGTTGAAAACCTCAGTTGTGAAAGTGATTGAAACAGGCACAGTTGTTGAGAAGGAAAGATCAGAGAGGAGGAAGAAGAAGGAAGTTTTATATGTTGCTTTGTGGTTAGCTTACCGGCTTAGCGGATGCTGTTATAGACAGGAGAGCGATGACTAAGGCGGTTGTCAGAAGCTCCATCTCTGATTGGTTCTTGTCTGCAAGGGAGGGAAGCCACAAAGAACAACACAGTCACATATCCCGCCAACACACTACCAGCGACTGGGTATAGAAATATGATGTAGTGGAGAATTACTATCCTCAAAAAGGTGAATATAATACAAATTAAAACATGTTTTCTAACGACATACATATTCACATACCTATTACAACAACAACTGACTAACAAAGCACTTATATACTAATAAAGGACTGGCTTATCTAAAGCTAGTTGAGTAGCACTTAAAATGTTTTGGCTCTATGAAACCTGATGTACTTATATGATTCTGTTTTCTTCAAGTTTGTATCTTCTTGGTCGAATGCACTTATTGTAAGTCGCTTTGGATAAAAGTGTCAGCTAAATGCAATGTAATGTAATGATGTAACACTGAAAACCTTTTTAAAACAGTTAATCACATTCAAATAAAACATTTAAAACAAACTTACAAGTTTCCTGTAGAACCAGATCTGCTCTTTTTCTTTCCTCTCTTAAATCCTGAATATAATCAATGGGATTCTCTGCAGCTGTAATCGCTCTTGGTTTCAGTTCAGAAGGATGTCTCCATGCAGGAGTGGCTGCTGCTTATATATTCTGCCTGGACGTCCCAGATGATGTGACGGGCATCGGACCCTGTGGGGAGGATTGGGCAAGACTGGGTCAGAGGGGAGGGAGAGGAGAGGAAATTTACCGCGGTAATATATCACACAAAGGCATGCATGAATCATTGGAAAACATGTTTGTTTTTAGTCCAGAGTCAGGAATTGTCTTTGGCAAATTTGCGTATAAGTGACGTCAACATGTTCTTGGAACTTTAAATATAGGACTCCAAGGTGTGGACAAAATACCAGGAACAAGAAAAATGCAATCTAGCCCACATCTTCCTGGATGTTATACAAATATACATGTATATACATACAGTGAAAATACTGAAACGTTGACTTTAATTAAATGTATTATGTGAATACGTTTCACAAAACTGTATTAGGTTAGTTGAAAGCGATAATATTAAGTTGATCCTATTTAAACTAAATGTTATTGCTTTCAACTAACCTAATACAGTCTTGTGAAACTTGTTGACATAATACATTTTATTAAAGTCAAAGTTTCAGTTTTTTCAGTGTATATATTTACCTCAGAATGTCATAGGGGTCCTTATAGTTTGTTTCCTGTAATAGCCTAATGTCTGTCACAACCATCTGTATTAACTGTAACTTAACCGTAACATAATTGCAAAGGGCAAAACAAAATTCAAACGTTTGGATTGGACGTTGGTTGATGCTTTGGGTTAAAGGCTAAAGTGAAATGTGACGTTGTGACAGAAGGCAACGGAGAAATTACAAATGGCGAAGGAATTCTGCATGAGGTGAAGGATGAATGATCCAACGTTCAGGCTCTAGGTTGAGCAGCCAGTGGAGTGTAACAGTAGAGTCAGTGTGTAGCCACACTTTGATCAGACCTGCATGTGTGTGTGACACCGCTGTGTGACCGCACTACTCAGAAACTCCCCCCCTCCTCTCTTACTCTCTCTTCCTCCTGTGAAAAAACACCTCAGGGTGAATTATGAACAAGATGCATCATGAAAAGGTTTCCAATGAGAAATGTAAGGACCCACATTAACATAATAAACAAACCCGAAATAAATAAAACCTCCTGGGTAACCATATGAAACCAATGCCAACCGGCAACATCGTAAGTCGTGAAACCCACTGACCCTAAGAAGACTTTTTCCTATTTCCAGAGCTGAAACCATTAATAAACTAATATATGATTTGAATTAATCAGCAGCAATTAATAAATAAGGTATTTTTTTAAATATTAGCAAACATGCCAAACTTACCCTTGTTGCCCCTTTGATGTTAGTACTTTATCTATTTTGGGTTTTGGACTGTTGGTCCAACAAAACAACCCTAACCGTAACTCTTAGCCAATAGGAATGAGTGGTATTTCTTAGCAACATTGTGATGTCTCTAGGGAAGGAAAGAAATATCTTAACAACTAGTGGATTATGTTTTTGTGAATGTTCATGTCCACCGTAGGATTGATCCTTATTCCTTAGGTACATCTCTCACTTTTTCTGTAGCACCATTATGATGACAAAATATCACTGGTTTTCTGAAAATGAATCCAAACGATTAGCTCATTTCTTGTTACTAAAGTGAGTTAAAGTTCTCAATTTTCCCAACACATACTAGATATATTTGCAACAACATTCATGGTTCCCAAGAGATGAACCCTGATGACTTCAATGCTGCACATGTTTCCTTTAATGCCAGGTTCACATCTGGTTTTGGGGTGAAACTGTTCATACAATATATAGATTATTGGATTACTGTGAAATGTGGTAAAGACCACATGGTCAGGACAAACTGTAATGCTTTGATTTTCTTGTAGGATCATTCGGATGATCAACCAATGACAAATACCTGCAAAGCTAAGGGAATTCCATTAGCTTCAGCTGTTATTTATGGTCACTACTGACTACAGTAGCAAATGTTAGCATGCTAAACTAAGATGGTGACCATTGAAAATATAATTTGGCTAAACACCAGCGTGTCATTGGCCGTACTCGTTAATCGCCGGGGCATTCCATCGTTTCCAAACGTGCTTCCACTTTTCTCTACTTCTCTGCCCTTCCCAACCACAGCTTCATCTATACATGTATCACCCAATCACCCAGCTGCTTCTCATTCCCTCTGATTAAATAAAGATTAGATTAGATAAATCCTTGTTTATGTTGCGACACCTGACTGATTTTGCTATTGCGGG